TGTGCCGATGCGGGAAATGAACAAAAAGAGTCAGAGAGGACACCACATTTTCAAGCCCTTAGCAAAAATAGGGAACTCAGGAAGAGGGCAAGTTTTGTACTTGTACAACAGAGCTTTACACGTGATCCCTCCACAGGGTAGCTGTTGGAGAGCAGGGACTCCTGTGATTGACATTTCCTTCAAATCCCCCCTCACTGCCCAACGAGGTAATCCTACATATAGACAATGACAAATGCACGGACGACAGAATCTAGGTGTGGCAAAGGTAGTTCAAGATCTGGTCCGGAGTAGGTTAAATGGTGACTTCCTGCCCCTAAAAACATGTGTACCTGGAACCTGTGTGTATGACCTGATTGGAATGGGTCTTTGCAGTTGTAATGAAGTTAAGGATCTTGGTAATTCCAGGTACCTGTATAAGAAGAGAACGTACAGACAGAAGAAGAGACACAGAGGGGAAGTCCATGCGAGGACACAGAGAAAAAGACCATGTAAAGACAGAGTCCGAGATTAAAGGGATGCATCTACAAGCCAAGGAATGCAAAGGATTGCTGGCCATTCCCAGAAGCGAAGAGGCATGCCAGGCACACAGATCCCCTCCAAAAGACTTGTAGTGAATAAACTGATTTATTAATTCATTCAGTAGGCCCTCATTTATTTAACTATAAAGTCAGAGCACTAAATTAGTGACAATTTCTATCTTAAAAGTTCTAGGATTCTAAGAATGTGTCTTCTCCAGGAAGAATAAAATAGTTAAATAGGACAAATACTCAGAAATTTAAGAGAATGGGAAATGAGGGGCACCTGGGTGGCATAGTCAGTTAGGTGTCCGGCTCTTGGTTTTGGCTCAGGTCATGATCTCAGGGTCCTGGGATCGAGCCCCAAGTCAGGCTCCATGCTTAGCTCAGAGTCTACTTGAGATTCTCTCTCTCCCTCTCCTTCTAATCCTCCCACTCATACTCTCTCTCTCTAAAATAAATAAATAAACAGATCTTTAAAAAAAAAAAGAGAATTGGAAATGATTAGAGAGAAATGCTTTGAGGACATGCTTCTTTTTGATCTATACCCTTCCTTTCTAGGGAGTAAAGCAATAAATATCACTAAATCTTCTCTACTCTAAGTCAAATCTGCCCTTGAGATGATGTACCCACAATGCTTTTATCTGATAGTCACTATCCATTGCCATGTGTTTAAGGGAGAGATGAAGCTTCGGCTGTTCAACCTTCCCCAAGATCACTTTGTTCTCTTTCCATCTCTCTGTCTTGGCTTCGCTAATTCTGAATGTTTATGTTTGTGATCGGTAGATATGGAAAGGGAACATTGCTCTGCTAACCAGGAATCTGGGCTAGCTTCTGGTTTCACCAGGCATAAATAGAAATGTGTGCCAAGTCATTATATCAAGTGGATTCCATACTAAGCAGGATGCACCTTGAGGAACCAGAGAGATCCGGGGAGGAATGGCTACCCAAAAATAGCAGTTTTATAACAAAATATTTAAAGGACTTAGTATAGAACTGGTTAATCAAATGGCAAGGGCAAAGGGTAGCAGTAAATACCCTTATTTTATTATCTTGTTTTCCAGGGTGCCTTAATTTTCAAGAAATGGCTTTGTGGGTGTATTTAAAAAAACTACTTAGAAGAAAGCCACTTCAAACTGTGTTTAGAAGCTAAATAAATACAATAGTCACCAGAACAGAGATGCAGCGGGCATTGTACTACATAAATCAAAGTAAAATTAGGAGTCTTAATTGACTCATGGGTATGACCACACACTTCTGTAAAAGTGCTAATTTTAATAAACCACAGTCACTGAATGACATTCCTAATCAGTCACTTAGAGAGTGGGTATTAGTGCAGAATTCAAATTATTTGAGTTTAACCTTCAACTGCTATACATTTTGCAGATGCCTATTTACTTTTACTTTGTTTATGTGAGGGAAAATCATGGTATGAAATGGATGGGGCTTTGGTCTGCTAAAGGTGCCTTTCAGACATATTTTGCCTACAAAATATTCTACTTATCAGAAGCCAAAACACTCCCACAAGGAAATGTCCTACATCTGAAGGGGAAATGACCCTGCCCTTCAAATTCCTCTATTTGGTGATCTTCTCATTAAATAAAATCAATATTTTACAGTTTTGGAATGAAATTAGGCTCCTTCTGTGTAACCTTCTCTAGGTTTTGCTAAAGAGAATTACAATAAAATATGGGAAAATGGATGTTCCATGAGGGACTCTAGACAAAAGTAGGCCTGGCACATCCACAGTTCCCACCTGCCATCTCCTTCTACCCTAAAGGTCTCCCAAGAAGAGACTTGGGGACTGTAAGTCATCTATAGCTGCTTCTTATTAAGGACTATGGATATCCCAAGAATGTCTCTATTATTTATAAGGGATGGTATATGATAAGGCTGTTATGGCAGATGACTAGCCTTTCTGGTCAGGATATATTTTGACTTAAAGTACTGATTACTTCATATCCCTGAGACCAGGATTTAGGAAGTACTTGTAGCGATGATATACATGGTTGGAGCTAGAAAGCTGTCTGAGCTCAGCGGAACTCTAGGTCCCACCACTCTCTCTGTCTCTCATGAATAACGTCATCTCTCTCACGGAGTCTCTTCATCTCCCCACATTTTTTTCTCCCCATTTTTCCCATCAATTTTACTTGCTCATAACATCTGCTTGCTCGTGCCACAGGCATGCCCAGGAGTCATCACAGCTGTCTCAGACTCACTCTACTGAAACCTTGCTGCTTCGAGATTCACAGCTAATCACCCTTTTGTTTGTTTGGGTTTCCTAGTTCAGATTACACGGAAAGGAAATTTGATTGGCCTAGCTTAATATTCTCTTTCCTTTTGTTCTTAAACCAAGCTTTATAAAGAAATTCACAACAAAATTTATCATTTTAAGTATACAAGTCAATAATTTTCAGTAAATTTATGGAGTTGTGCAACCATCACTATAAGCCAGTTTCAGAACATTTTCAATACAAAAAACTCCAGTGGGACTTTCTGCCTCCAGCTTTAAGACAACTACTCATGTGGTTTCTGTCCCTATTAGAATGTTCATTCTGGATATTTCATATAAATGGAATGATAGAATATGTAATGTTTGTCAAAGGCTTCTTTCACTGAGCATAATGGTTTTGGGGTTCGTAGTGTTATAACGGTATCACTAATTTGTTTCTTTAAATTGCTGAGTAGTAGTCCAGTGTATGGATATCCTATGTTTTAGAATATTCCAAATCCATTTCAAATGGAAAATCCAATGGAATATTCCATCTCACCAGTTCATGGGCATTTGGATTGTTCCCAGTGTGACTATTATGAATAATGTTACTTTGAATATTATTTCAAAAACCCCTGTCTTGATTACTATAGCTTTAGAGTAAGTTTTGAAGTTGGCTTATGCAAGTCCTCCAACTTTGTTCTCCCTTGACAAAACTGTTTTGGCTATTCTAGGTCTTTTTCATTCCCATGTATTATTTAAGATAAGCTTATCAATTTCTAATGATTTGCTGTGATTCTGTGATTCTGATATGGATTGAATTTAATATATTAATCAATTATTTATCAACTTGGGGAGAACTGCTATCTTAAAATATTGAGTCTTTCAATCCATGAATATGTAGTGTCTCTCCATTTATTGAGACATTTAATGTTTCACAGAAATATTTTTTAGTTCAGGTTGCAAATCATGTACTTCCACTGTTAATATATTCCTAAATATTTTATTCTTTCTGATACTTTTGTAAATGTCACTATTTCCTTAATTTTATTTTTGGATTGTCATTGTTAACATACAGAAATATGATTTATTTTTGTATATCTTATATTGTGATAGGAAATACTCTATTAGTTCTAGTAGTTTTATTGTGGATTTTTTTATTTTCTACATAAAGATGTAGTCTGCTAAGAAAAACTGTTCTGTTTTTTCCTTTCCAATCTGCATGAATGGATCTATCTACCTACCTACCTACATCTCATCACCTTATTGTACTATCTAGTTATAATTTTGAATAGAAGTGGTAAGAATGGACATCTTTGCTGTGTTCAAGATCTTAAGAGGAGGAAAGCATGAAATATTTAACTATCTAGTATGATGTTTGCCATAAGTTTTTCATAGATGTCCTTTTCAATTTGAGTAAGCTACATTTTCTTTCTAGTTTATTGAGATTTCTAATGAAAAGTGGGTGTTAAATTTTGTCAAATGCTTTTTCTGCATCTGCTGATTCTACTAATATAGTGCATTGCTGTCCTTGATTTTCATTTATTAAAGCAGTCATACATTCCTGGATAAAATTCACTTATTTATTTTTTCTATCCCTTCTTATATGTTATCAAAGTTAGTTTGGTAAAGATAATTGCATCAATGTTCATGAAGGATATTGGTCTATGGTTATCTTTACTTGCTTTTTCTTTTCATTCTTTTCTAGCTTTGGTACCAGGATAATGCTGGTCTCAAATAATGACTTGTGCAGTGTTCCCTCCTCCTCTTCCTGAAAGGGTTTGAGAAGAACTGGTATCATTTCTTTTGAGAATATATAGAAAATACATAGAATTCACAATTGAAGCCATCCTGCTAGAAATTTTCTTCATGGGACCATTTAAAATTTCTAATGCAATGCAATATCTTTAATTGTTTTTGTATCTTTTCAGATTAGCTATCTTCCTGAGTCAGTTTTAGCAATTTGTTTCTTTCTAAGAATTTTCCCATTTCATCAAAGTTTTCTAATTTGTCGCCAAGCTCACTTTTTGTGTCAGGTGATATCATAGATTACTGCTTGGCCCTAATCTTTCTTGGCACCCACCTATTTGTGGTTATGGAGGGATAAAGTTTCATGGTACAAAGCTAAGTTGCCAAATGGTTGTCCCATTTGGTAGAGACTAGAGAAGACACGTTGGGCATGGTTCTTCAGTAGCTATGGGCTGGAAAACATTCCGAGTTTAATGCTATCCACCACACAAATTAAATATTTCAGCATAAATTTGTATACTTACTTTTTTGTTGGGAACTTTGTAATGTTGAAGAAGCATTTGAAAGTGGGATCTTTGTCACTGTTGTATTTGTGATGGTGAACTCGGTCTTTGTGACATCACTGGTTGTGGTTCCTAATTATGTAAAAACAATAAGCAGCCATCAGGGGTGTAACCAATAAACAGATAGTCTTATTAGTATTAATATTAACATCCAGTTATGACTTGAATATTAGTTACTGAAAGTCTTCTGATCAAGTTTTAGAAATCCAACATTTTGGTATTTACCTTTTGGTGATCCAGTTAATTATATTGAGAAAACAGAGGCATATTAGACTCTTTTATATGTCTGCTATAGTTTATCTCATTTGAGCAGATGGTAATCTTATTAATTAAGTAATAATTGTTACCATAATTTTATGTATAAGATTCAGAAAAGTTGATTTCCCCATTGTCACATAACTTGTAATAGGAGAGAGCCAGGATCTGAATCCAAGCCTTTCTGATGCAAAAGTTAATCACTCAGCTACCCTAGAAATGGGGTGGTAAGGAAGTAGTACTAGTTGAAGATGGTACCATGGTTCCCATGCGGTCTGGGAAGGAATTTTCACGTGGGGGAAACAGACAGCAGGAAAGGGATAATAGGAACTCCATAAAATAAACTTTTAATTATACTTAGTTCATTTTTTGGAGGGGGGAAGGATAATTAACAACAAAGAAAAGATAACCTGAGATTTCGAAAATAACATTGGAATAAGATTATTTGAAACAATTTATATTTGCACAAACATTATAAAAACAAAATGATTAATGCCTTTCAGTCTTTTCAAAGTCTAATGTGGATAATATTGGTTAGTGAAGAAAAGACAGGCATGCTGGTTAATGCACGCTTAATATTAGCTACATATGATGCTGGCTGGAGATGGGAGGAAGTCAGTTTAATAGATTTCTGTCACACAGTAGACGGAAAGACTGAATTGCTGGTGTTTTCCAGAAGTGCTGATCAGCTTCCGTTCTATGGCAGCAAGCATCTATACTTTGTAACACAAAGTCTTAGTGCAATTAAGAGACTGATGCCGGAGAAACTGTTAGTTTGCAAGAAGACCTCAGAGACAGTGGGTAAATATGTCTTTACACAAAAAGCCTTCAGGAATTGGTATGCCAGCAAAATATAAACATAAGTTCAAATATAGGCTATAGCATTAACACCACATATGAGAAAGAAAGAGTTGAAATGGGCAAAACTTTGGAGGCATCTTGAAGTACTAAATTGAGAGAGAAATAATTGAGAAAATAAAGAAATATCTTACTGTAGCAGACATTGATGTTTGTGATAACATGGAAGTACAAAAGATCACCCAAAAGGCAGAAACTCAACACTTGAGGATGAAGGGACATGTGGGGGTAAAGATTTTGCTTCTCACCAGAACTCCAACATATTCTTGGAAAACATTAGAATAGGATTTCCTCTTTAGAAATTTTTGGAGGAGAATTCTTCTGCTGAGTTAAAATAGAAAACCATGAAAAAGCTATCCTGATGGCCTAAAGGATCCCCTAGCATGAGGCAGACTCAACAGTCTTGGACACGGAAAAGAGAATTTATATTTAAGAAAGATGTGGGAAACTGACAGATTAGAAAAATACAAAGAAGAGAGCAGAATAATGGAATAGCTGGGGATATATTGCCAAAGAGTTTGCTTTGAGAGTTGTCTATTATTGATGTGGAATATACTTCACAAATGAGTGTAAAAGGGGAGCCCACACTCAACTCAGGACAGGTTGTCAATTAAGTATCCTGGAGGCAATGGAAGGAATCTTGAATGCTTTAAAGGTAACCAAAATATTTTTAAATACACATGCATGGTGGACCTAAAACAAACAGAAGGGAAGATGCGGAGACAAATGCTGCTACAGCCATAAATTTCGAAATTTTACAGAGTATAGTCTTTTCAACAAAAGGTGTTAGGACAACTGGATGATTATACATGAAAAAAAATGAAGCTGGACATCTAACTCACACCATATACAAAAATTAAAGACTTAAATAGAAAAGTTAAAACTATAAAATTCTTAGAAGAGACCATTGGCATAAATCTTTGTGACCTTGAGTTGAGCAATGGTTTCTTAGATTTGACCCCACTGACTGAAGGAAACCAGAATATGTCACCTTGAAATATGCCTCTTTGACATAAAAATTATTTGGAAATGCAGCCAATAAAGAGGCAGCCAATACAGAAAAAGCTTTTCTGCTTAAGGGCAGGATATAAATTCTCCTTTTACTGGAGATAGACTCTTTATCAGCCCGGAGAAGACACTAGAGGAATCTGCAAACAAACCTTATTCCATTAGTTTCCTTCCAGATATTTACCTTCCATTTGTTTGTAGCCTAAACTACTTTCTTTTGTCTGGTCATTTTTCTACAAACTTACTGTTCTTTGTTCTAGATGCTATATAAGCTAAAATTCTAAACCACTGCTTTGAGTTACTCTTTGTTTTAGGTTTCTCATATGCTGTGCACTGGCCATGTTAATAGACTGTTTTTTGTTAATCTGTCTTGCGGTTAATGTCCCATCTGAAAACCTAAAATGAGTAGAGGTAAAGTTCTACCTTCTCTACATGAAAGAAAAAATATAGATAAATTTTCCTTCATCAAAATTAGAGATTATAGTGCTTCAAAAGATACCATCAATAAAATGGAAAGACAGCATACAGAGTGGGAGAAAATATTTGCAAATTATCTATCCAATAAGGCTCTAGTCTCCAAATATATTTAAAAAAATACTTACAACTCAACAATAACAGACAACCCGGTTTTTATAAAAAAAGGAAAGAATTAAATAGACAGTTTTCCAAAGAAGATATAAAATTGTCAACAAGTCCATGAAAAGATGTTTGCCATCATAAGTCATCAGGGAAAAGTAAATCAAAACCACAATTAGATGCTACTTCACATCCACTAAAATGGCTATGATGAAAAAGACAGCAACAAGTAGGGATTAGAAAATGGACAATTAATGCCCTCCTACTTTTCTGGTGGGAATGTAAAATAATACAGCTGCTCAGGAAATCAGTTCCTCAAAAAGTTAAACAGACTGCTATGTGCCTCAGCAATTCCACTTTAAGATACATATCGCAAGAGAAATGAAAAGACATGGCCACATAAAAACTTGTATAAGAATGTTCATAGCAGCATTATTTATAACAGCTGAAAAGTAGAAACAACTGAAATGTCCATCAACTAATAAATAAATAAATAAATAAATAAATAAATAAATAATGTGGCATATCCATACCGTGAAATACTATTCACTCATAAAAACGAATGAACTACAGATAAATGCTACAGCATGGATCAACCTGAGAACATGATGATATGTGAAAGTCAGACACAAAAGATTATATACAATATGATTCTACTTATGTGATTTTTTTTATATGAAATTTCTAAAATAGGCAAAGGGACAGAGAGTAGGTTAGTTTTCTCTGGCAGGGGGGAAGGAGGAAATAGGAAGTGATTAGTAACAGATACAGGGTTTCTTTTTGGGGTGATGAAAATGTTCCAGAATTAGATAGTGGTGATGATTGCACAATCTTGTAAATACACTGAAAACCACTGAATTGTCCACTTCAAAAAAGTAACTATGATGGTATATGAATTATATATATGAAAGAAAAATGACGCAAATGATCATTACTCACCTTCACCTTTAACTGTTGCCATTAAAGAAGAATGTGTTGGCTGCAAAGATGTACTTGAGAGTTTCTTACTGGTTGTGCCTAGTTTGATAAGATAGATGACATGATTATTAATCACAATTTCATCTCACCTGTCAAGGAATAAATAAATGTCAGTCAAATCTGGAGGTAAACTAGAATCCCTCTACAGTGGTACTGTCAGCTTTTGCCTATCTTTAATTTTTTTATTTCCTATCTCCTTTTGTCCAAAGTAAGGAATTTAAGTACTGAATGCTTGGGTGACCCAGTGGAAACACAGACACACAGACACACAGACACACACA